TCAATAATAATACTAGCAATATTAACGGTGACGATAATACTAATACTGACAATGGTGGTGGTAGTAGTAGTAGTAGTAGTAGTAGTAGTAGTAGTAGTAGTAGTAGTAGTAGTAGTAGCAATAGTAGTAGCAATAGTAATAGCAGTAGTAGTACAGAAGCAGTAGCAGTAGCAGTAGCAGTAGCAGTACCAGTAGCAGTAGCAGTAGCAGTAGCAGTGGATTGGAGTAGTGGCAGCAGCAGCAGCAGCAGCAGGAGGCGGAGGAGGAGGAGGAGGAGTAGTAGTAGTGCAGGAGGCAGCGGCAGGTTTTTTTTTTAAATCATTGCTCCGGCAAGACAGCTGCAAAAGCCGTAACATCGGGGAACATGATCTCAATCTAAATCTCTGGTTGTTCACCAGTCCAGTCGACCTCAACTTTAGCGGCAAGCGGCGTCATTAGTTGACACATCGGCAGCCTTGGAAGACACGTGCAGCCTAGGTCATGGCGCATTGCAAGCAGCGATGCGTTCCTGATCGACATCCCACCCGAATCCTGAACATCGGGACTCGTGCGAGGTTTGTCGGGCTTGCGGTTTAAGGCCACGGGTGTAGCAGGGTTAAAGCTTTAGGGTTTCAGGGCTGTAGGACTCAACAGGCTGCACTTGTCGGCTGCTTCGCCAATGCATTCATGCTTGCGCTGTGAAGCCAAAAATTCCGGTCATGTGACAGGTAATTCGTAGCTCCTGTGTAGGTTTTGTTCGCTTTGGTAACGTGATTCGCAGCAGGCCAATCCTAGGTGAGGCTTTTTGGCTCTGTACCACTGCAGCACGAGACTGTTCAGGCTGCGGACAAATCCACGGATGTCACCAAGCCAACAGTTAGACGAGCTAAGGCTCAAGACCAGCAGCGGACACAATCGTCTTTGCTGCACACGCCCACATTCCGTGACACATCGTCTTGTGGCAGGAGCACCGCGACCCAAAAATGGGATTGTGCTCTGTTGATTTTGAAGCTTCTGCACTGATCATCCATGGCGTTAAGTTTGGAGAGTTTGGCGTGGGGATCTCTGTGAAGTGCCACCCATCTTCCGGAAGTCATGCCCGGCTACAATTTTCTCTCCATCCTGCCAGCGCCTCGCTTCGGTGAGTGTCAGAGTATTCGGCACTACGTCGATGTGGTCTCCAGCGACCAACAGTCTCTTTGCGCAGTACCGTGAAGAACTTCCGGTTATCCTTGCTCAGATACACCACGAAAGTCACATGCAACCCTGCCGGCGCGATGTCCACAACGGGGCACGCTCACAGATCCTTGGCCCGTCTGAGGAGGGGCATCCTATGTTGTACAGGAGAAGCGGCTCTGCTTCTCCTCGTTGGCAGCAACGGTTCGTAGATGCCTCATGCCCGCGCCGCTTGCCTGTGCAGCACCAACGAGAAGCACGGAGCTCGTGTGTTAAGAGCTGGCTGAGCTATGTTAGAAGAGCTTACACACAGATGCCTCTCCAGCAAAGCCGAGGAACGCGATAAGAACAAGTACTTAGACATGCCATGTTCAACTTGGCCCTGCCACTGGTCATGTCGCTTAACCACAGTCAAGAACCACAGGAGACCACTCCTCTTGCCTTACCGATTCAGTTTTTGTATCGGATTTGTACTGGATCTGCCGGAGCTCTTTGTCCAGCTGCAGCTGCTGCATCATCCCCCAGTCTTCATACCCACGACCGCCGGTCTGCCATGGGTCTGCGGTCTGCAGTCGGACCTTGATGCTTTATCAGTGCAGGCTAGCATTGCTGATAGCGACGCCAAGACCTGGCTCTCTGGCGGGGGCCGCGTGCCCGGTGCTCCATCGTAGGCGGGATGTGCAGACGACAACGTGCGTCTCTTCGTCCTCAAACCGATGTTGGGCATCAATGAGTGCCAGCCGCCTCCAACATTTACTTCGAGGTTGTGTTTCTTCCCGGGGCTTGTTGCAACGTGCATAGTAGGGGCTGTGGCATTTCGTCTTGTTCATGACTGTATACGTGAGCGGGTTCAATGCCATCTCAGCTCGAAGAAGTCAACATGAGTCAAGCAGGGATGCCAGCTGTACATTGCGAGCACCTTGAGTCAACATGCAGGCACAAAACTAATGTATCATGACGATGTAGCTCTAGCTCGAAGAACTGAGCCAACCGAAGCACCGCCACAGCCACCCGCGTCATCCGCATTTTCAATGCATAACTGCTAGTCGCATGGCGAAGGACGTGTCCGTCAAGGCCTTTGTGAAATCTGGCGCATGTAGCCATTTTTAATTCTGTTGCATGTTAAACCTTGGACTTGGAAGGTGCTGAAGCCTCCTGAGGAGGCAGACCATGCTGTTGCGTACTGATGCCGGGTGTTGTTTAAGCAACGGGCCGCCCTGGGATTGCAGTTGCTATGGGTCTTGCAATAATTTTGCTATCAACGAATCAGAAGGCTAGATCAAGCTCAGCACAACCTACCTCCAAAACCTAAATCAAACTCCAAAGCTGAATCATCAAAACATGCAATGGAACACTTTGACAAGCCGAACAACCATCTAAAGCTCCTGAGCAGAAACAGCTGAAAACCCTGTAGCGCCTACAACAACGTAACGGACCTGAAACACCTGAGGAACATAAACACAAGGACAGCCCATACAGAGAGTTCTCGAGAAGAGATTGTTAGCTTTAACTTTCAATGCATTTGTGGGATTTTCTGCTTTTTAGGGTTGTCTGGGTCTTAGAGTCTCAGGATGTTCAGGGCCAGAAAGAAAGATGCATTGCCCATTTTATCTTCTAGTATTCTTGCGTAGGTTTAGCTCCAGCCATGAGGGCAAAACCTGTTTATGAATCAGGTTTGGCAGTTGAGCCTGAAATCTTCAACGGCTGCTGAGCAACCAGGTATGTAGCCTTACATGATTTGATTGTGGCTTGAGGCATTAAGTGGAAGGTACCCATTCTGAAAGCAGAACTTCACATCAACCTCTATGAGTGAAACGTCGTAGTTTAGTCCACGCATCCCGCATCGTGACCAGCAGTGTTTGTCTCATCTTGTCTGTAGCGGCTGCCTTTGGCAACTAGGCCTAGCTTTGAGCCTCAAGCTAGGTACGCCCACTAAACAGGCCAGGTTTGGCCTCGAACATGTCCATGGCTGGGAAAAAGGTCTGGTCTAGCCGAGAAGTATACACACCAGAAAGCTAGACCTAAATGTTCAGCGATGCAGTAGTTCGGGGCCCCTATTCGGGGGTACCCCAAAAGCCGTAAACCTTGTTCGAACATGGGTTGGCAGATAATGCTTTCGAAGAAGGTTTAGGTCCAGGTAAGAAATTCAGCGACCACGTTTAGGAACGGGGTTTAGCCGCTTAGCCCTAAGCAAAGGCTTGGTCTTCAACACCAACTGAAAAGTATTTAGGAGTAAGAACAAGGCTAAGCATCAAGCTAATGCTGCTAAGGAATAAGGTGTCGCCGTGAGGCTATTTGTCAGGAATGCACCAAACCACATTGTTCAGGTGCAAGTTCATCTACATGTTGCAAGACACCTGCTTGTGGGGATGCGTAGGATTCGCAACCAGATCACCTGTCCTCGTGCGCGCAGGTTATTAGACTTGATGGTGATGATGGCGAGGCATCAGTGCAAGTGGCTGTTTGTCGTCGTTCTGTCTGGATGCATACACGGTGCACCAGAGACCGAAGCTTCCCAGCAGCCTCGAACAGCTAGCGTTTGGCATCTGCCTAATGTTCTGGTCATGCGACCAACAACCAGCTCTGGAGTAGTTGCCTCGTCGGAAAACGTTGCATCTGCGTTTGTTTTCTGTGAAGCCAGATTCCACAAAACAGTGGAGATATGGCTGACCGTGCCGACAGATGCACTTCTGGGGCTCTGCGACGTGTTTCACATGCCTGCTACAGGACCGGTTGCCAACGAACGACACATGCTTATTCTCTGCTAACAGACAAGGATTCTGACGTACCATTCTTTACAGCATATCTGCCCGCAGTAGTATCTCTGAATGTTTGCCGCATGCCTACGGTCCAAACTTAGACTTCTTGCGCAGATGGTTGCTGCCATCAGAGCCGAATGTAATCGAACTGTGTGATGCGATGTTGGTGGTTATGTGTTGCCCTTTCTATGTTTATGCAGGTGCCAGTACACTCCCGAAGGGAGGACCTCGAAAGGCCTGGGTCGTGTGGTGTGAGTTTCACATACCTGTCAGTATGCACGACGAGTCACATGGCAGTGTCAAAGCAGTGCGGCAGTCAACATCAAGTCGTCATGACTGTTTACTTCTTGAGGAGCCAGGATGAAGGAAAAGGGGCCAAAGGTCGAGGAAGAGGGGGACAAAGCAAAGGAAAGGGGAAAGGCAAAAACTTCAAGGCGAATTTGCTTGTGATGTGCAATTGGGTGAAGCATCTTGTGAGAGCAGTCTGGCTATTGGGCACGGAGGAGCCTCCGAAGTCGGACAAAGGCCTTCAGAAGAGGATACAAAGGCCATTGCCGGAGTAAAGGAAGCTGTTGTGACTGTTGCCATGTCAGGTATGCTCGTGGAGACGTTGCCCTGAAAGACATCACATCGAAGAAAGACAAGAAGCTTGCTGGTCAGGAACGGAAGTTGTTTTCTGTGGTCAGGAGTATATCATTGAGGTATGCATGGCGGCATGGACTAGAGCATGTTCGTGCGTCCAGTCGTGTGGCTGGCAGATGAAGCAGCGATACCGCGCGGACCAAGAGACGGCCTTTCGACTGGCAAAGGCTGAGGCTGAAACCGTTTATCTCACACTGAGTTTCGTAGTCCGTGGATGTGCATCGAGGTTGAGCTATGTTGAGCTGAGTACCGTGTGTTCCGAGTTCTTATCATCGCAGTGTTCATCGCAGGTGTTGCAAACTGCGGAGGCTGGCTTTATCGAAGCAGAGGAGGGTGAGAAAACCATGAGGCCCGATGAATGCAGCTATTCGTGGAAAGATGCTTGAAGGAGTGTGCATGGCGACGGGCCTGGGTGTTTTGGCTGTCATTCGAGCGCTTGTGTGTCGCTCGCGGTGAGTGGCTGGTGCAGTTGTCGGCGAATCCGTCCCCAATTCGAATTCGCATCGTGCTATCACGACAGGTTGACACAAGATGACATCCTTGAAGCCGTTCGGACCTTGAAGTGAAGAACCGGCAGAGGATTCCACACAACTGATCTGGAAAGGCGAGTGTTGGCGTTGCCCGCAAACACTTCTCCTTCGATCTGCCCTACGGCCCCTACTGCTGTGAACTCGGCGAAGTTGCTTTGCAAGGGTCAGCAGTGAGATGAGCAGGTCTAGGTCGTACATGCATATGCCAGGCTCCCTGACGCGAAATGGGCAGAACCTGCTGGTTGGTGGCATGAAAGATCATGTCGTTCGGAGCTCAGGGATGGTTTGCAGGAGCCATCAACAGCAGAGCTCAACTCCGTCACATGTTCGAACAGCCAACTCGACTTGGGGTTTGGAAGTGTGAAAAAGGCAGGCGAAGCAGTTGCAACCCTAAACCCTAAACTTGGTATGGTGCTGCAGGCTTTCATGCACCTCGTCAGACTCTCAGATGTAGGATCGGAAGTGCAACAAAGTGGTCTTCCTTTGGTCAGTCAGAGGTGATATGCAAATCAAAGGGCCGTCTGGCTCAAAGTGGTCTTCCGTATGTCCAGCACCAAGCGAAGACTAGATCGCAGGACAGCTTTCTGAAAGCTTTATACAGATTTAGGATCAGGTTTGAGGGCCTGATTCCAGAGAAGACATGGTTTCAGGCATGCAAATAGCATGTTTGATACAACCGTTGGTAGTACTGCGAGCAGTAATTTGAACCTCCTGGCAGCCCCACCTGTGCCCTGCCTTGGCCTCAGCACCATCTGCATTCCATTTCAACAGTTGCCAGATTTTTGCTATGTCAGCGCGCTCAGGTTGTCGCCGCCATGTCTACGGGAAATCCATTTGGATTGTCTGAAATTTCTCACTATGGCACTTCGCACGAGACACTCACACCGCCGCTGCTGTAAGTGCACGTAAGTGTTTATCAGGGACGGTAGATCGTTCATCTCAGGCACTATGCGAAATGTCGGCGGAAAGGCTGGCGGATTCATCAACAAGAAGTTCTTCCACCCCTCATCCATTCGCAACCAGGACGCAGTGCCGCACTGTCTGTAGATCTGGAGGAAAGAAACATCACAACCCGCAAACGCAGATGATGTCACTGGAAGGAGAGACTTTGGAAGGCAATCACCGCTGATGCGGTGGAGCAGCGGAAGCAGGACGACTTGGAAAAGGCTGCCTGGAAGCGGAGAGAGTCAAAGCCTGTCTGAGCACCAGCTAGCTCCTCGAGGCCAGGGAGGAGGAACGCAAGGTCGAAGCCTTGAGGAAGGAGTCCACGACTGCAATAAGAATGGCAACGGCACACTGCTTGCTGTGGGTGGCGCCTGGCGTCTCTGTTTCAAGGAGATGTATCTGACTGGACAATGCAACAAGGAGATGCAACTCGTTTGCAGCTTGCAGCATGCTTCACACTCTGGGAATTCCTTGAACTGCACAGGTTTGTTACAGCCTCTTCTGATGCAGCAGAGCGGGTGTCGGTCTGAGCTGTTTGCCGTTTGGCGGCTTCCTCTTTGGTTGTGCTGCGTTTGAGTCTGAGTCAACACTACGTGCTGTCGGCAACAGAGCAGTGGCTGAGGGAACGCCCGAGCAAATGAAGGCATTCAAAGAGCTGAAGCGGAGGAAGGAGCTCCTGAAGGACTGGGGTGCACAGCTACAGCACAGCGTCGTTTCGGCCACGGGCCCTGTGAGAGGAACGAGCTCGCAAGCCAGAGTCGGAGGTGGAAGAGCAGGCTGGGGTTGTGAAGGTGTCTTTTTCGATCCGTCCCCCGTTTTTATGGCGTGGTAGACCCTGTCACACAATATGGCTCTGTGGAGCTTGCGAAAGTTGTCGTTTACCAACTCACCTCAGTTGCGACGCAGGTCAAAATCCCGCTTATATGCCACGGTCCCCTCACCTCTTTATGCTTTCGTGCAGTGTGTACACGTACGCTGTAGTTTTAGCCAACTTTCTGCGTCTTTTGCAAGCGAAATACGCAGCAACTGTTAGCATTTAGCAAAGACAGTAGGTGGCTTCGATTACTCTGAGCACAGCACTGACACTATGTCCTTGGCCCACTAGGAGGCAGAAAGCTCGTTGTTTGCAAGGGCCGGCTCGAAATTGCCAATATATCCAGACAAGTTTTCCATTGTACATAGTTATGCCAAGCCTCTGCCACGCTCGCGTGATTCGCAGTGCTGTGCGGCAATAGATTCGCGTGACCAGTCGCCCCATCCTTTCCCTTCCGAAGCTTCCTTCCCTAGCTTCCGTGGCCCGTCTTCTCAAATATCTTGCTTCGCGACGCTTACAATGCTTTGGGCCGTTCTGGTTGTGGCATAGTGCTTTCTTTCAGCTTCTCGCTGGTGTCCTGCTGTTGTAGTTTGATTTATCGTTTTTACTGTGTGCTACATGGTCTCCTTGCCCGAAAGCTTCAGTATGCGCGTGCGAACAGCCTTTGGCTTGCTACTCTTTCGTGTTTGCCTTTTGCCGTGAAGTTGCTTACTGTTATTACTCGTATGGACCAGCAGTGGAACGAACAAAAGCAACTAGAACATCTTGCTGTTAATGGCAACAGCACGAGTGAACATGCAGACAGCAAAACGGATGATTAGCTAGATATGTCAGTATGCATGTAGCATGGTACCCCCCCCCAGTCATTGGAGATATCATCAGCACTCTTCTCTTCTTCACATCAAACCCCACGCGCAGGTTCGTGTGGTGTCGTGGAATGTTGAAGCTATATTTTTTGGGAAGTCCTCCATTCTAGTACCCCCGCCGACAAACACCATGGAGTTGGTGCCTAGGGAGGCCGTTCAGGGCATTTACAGTTGGATTAAGTTTCTATACTATCTGATTCATCGATAATCTGCCGAGCGCAATTCCTGGAATCGCTCTGGCAGAACGAAATGTTCAGACATCCAATCACCCCCCACACACACGCATACGTACAGACACACGCACGCACGCACGC